CACTGCATTCATTATACACACTCTTCACTCACTACAAACACACTACATTCACTATACACCCTCTGCATTCACTATACACACTCTGCATTCATTATGCACATTCTGCACTCACTACACACTACATTCACTATACACACTCTGCATTCACTACAAACACACTACATACACTGCATTCAGTGTACACACTCTACACTCACTAAAAACACACTGCATTCATTATACACACTCTGCATTCACTACAAACACACTACATTCATTATACACACCCTGCACTGCACTATATGCATAGGAGTGTAATTTTTTTTTTTTTAAAGGGGGGGGGGGCGGCAGGAATCTTGGGTGAGTTCCCACACTTTTTTCCCCAGGACTTGACCCCTGGTTATAAGTGTGATGAAGTGCCCTTCGCCACTTGTGCCAGGTGATCCGTTACATTGGTGGCAAGCGGTGGGATGGCTTTCTAGTGTGAGGAGCAGCATCCTGGAGACACCGAGCAAGCATGGCACTCTGTTACAGTCAAGCAAGGTTTGACGCTATACTGAAGATACTTTAATAATGCAAAGAAAATTAAGCCCAGACCCGTGGGCCTACCTCCTATCCAAACCAACAGAGGGATTTACCTGACCCGAGCAGAAGTTACTCAATATGATATACCTGGCAGATCGTAGGGCCTTGGCGCAGAAGTGGTCGTGCCCTTGGGTACCCACTCTCACATTGGTAACCACCAAAATCAAGGATAACTACCTTACAGATAAGCTAACCTCAATGGTCCGCAACCTCAAGAGTTCGCAACAAGGTATGGGACCTCTGGGAACGATACAAAGAGGAGGCGGAAGGTTAACCTGGTGCACGGACCCTAGAGGGGTAGAAATGTCTGAAATGTATGAGCCTCTCCTGTGCCATGGGTTCGTCTTTTATGGTTAATGTTTAATCTCCCTATAAAAATGATGATCGATTGTGGCATAATAGCAATATGTACTTCATACATATGTCCCGTGCACACCAGACTAAGCATAGCACAGAGTATGTAAACAGCTACATGTTTTACTATCGCTCAGGAAACAGCAAATGTGCCGGATTGACATGTAACTGAAAGCACTATGTCTATCGCACTTCTTACTGTACTCTGTTTACCCACATGTGAATGTACAATTGATCTTTTGCAAAATAAAGAATTTAAAAAAAATAAAAAATTATAATTTCTCCAAAAAAATCAATACTTAATTTAAAGACACATATAATTAAGTTTCATGAAATGTAATAAACTTTTAAACAATAAGTAAAAACTTGGTGTCAGTTGCCCTTTAATGAAAAATTTAACTCATGCAAAAGGCTTACCTTTGAAGCCATAATCAAGCTCACTTTGTGCAGGTACTGCAGGCCGATTGGTGTCCTTTTCATGATTCTGTCTCATATTTTCCATTATAGCTTTCTGAATTTCATTTACTAGGTTACGGCCTGGGAATAGTACCTGGGTGTCAAGCATTTTAAAGATCTCCTCTGCAACCTCAAAAACAGGAGCAGCCTCTGTCTCCACTTCAGGAAGCTCTGTCTCACTGCTTGACCACGAGGTGGGACGATGGACATTGCCTTCCTGTCCAGATAGTGGGGTCTTTTCCTCATTCTGCACTATGTCTGTGACAGATTCGATGGGCTGGATAGGTGTTTTTGGCCCTCTTGATTTTAGAGAGATAATGCTATCATTCTGTTGTGATTCAGTTCTTGGTGGTAAGGCTGTTGAACAAGAACTACAATCCTGACCTATATTTCCTTCTGACTTGGATCTATGTTTCTGAAGGTCTAACTCTGCATTATCCTTGTTCTCAGGTTCTTTGGTCAGAAGTCTCCCAATATCAACGGATTTCACCTCTCGATTAAACATTCCCTGGTGATGACTCAGACGGTTTTGGGTTATGATGACTGGATTTGAGTTGCATGCACACTTTTGTACCGAAGATTGGACAACTCTTGAGCAGAATGGATTACGACTCAAGTCCTGTTTCTTCAGCAACCTTCGAGACCCTTTACTACGAAAAGTTTCCATTTCTGATTTATGAAACTTGGCGTCCAGCTCTTTCTTAGTTTTCCTTCTTTTAACCTTTGGAATTGTCTTTTTTTCACCTTCAATAGTTCTCTGATGTCCTCGAAAAGGTATATGCTTTGGTTCTGACCCAGCAGAGCTAGATGTTGGACCTTGAAGGTTGAGGCAGGGCAAATGACTTGTGCACTGATTCATGATGAAAAAGCCAACAACAGAACATCCCCTTTGGCACCTACAGTGTCTCCCTATTATAAAGAGTAGAAAATACAATGAGTACAGGGAAACTTTTATTAAAAAAATAATAATATAATGAAATACTTTAAGCACCACAAGCATATTCCCTGCATTGTTCAATGAACTGACACAACAAACATGTACTTGCTGGCATTAAAGGGACACTCCGGGCACCATAACAACTTAATCAGAGAGGAAGTCCCAGAGGTTGATTAGGATAGGAGGTCCCTCACATAGGAGAGTGCAGTCTGTGTAGCTTATTTGCTAAACAAAAAGTTGTGGTAGTTGGTGCAAAATTTAGCTGGAATAGAGGAATTGGAAAGAGTGGGAGAATATTTTTTTCATTTTGTTGTGCATGGTAACATAACAGTGTGATCTATAATGCCCCAACAGCATAAAAATACATTGATCAACTTTTCTGTACATTTTGGTGAGCATTGATACTACACGGCGCCTTTTATATTTAACGACATTCGACATGGACAGTGACGTGTGGAGAATGTCAAAAATTAGGATTCCTAGGGCCTGGTACACATCAGAACCATTGTGTGTGAGGACTGATAACGTGGTATGGTATAATAATAAATCCTACGTTAGGCTTTTATTTTATTTTAACAGTATAGCGTGCTGTTCATAATTGTTAAGGGTCCATGGGGTGTCTTGTGGGGTCATCCAGGTGGCCGTAGTAGAATCAGCTGATGGCCATAATAAATTTAGAGTAATTAAGCGTGTTGTGGACCTGGAGAGCCGCTATACTGTCAGAGCCACCAAGCAACTCCTACTTAGAGGTAGGTGGGGGGATCGTGTAGCGCCAAGAGGCATGGGGGCCTATGGTGTAGACCTGTGTTTGTTAGTGTAAGTTAAGCCGATATAGTGACTCTGCCTGGTAACCCCCAGGCATCATTAGGGGGAGCAGATGTGTGAGAGCCTGTTGGCGCTGCTCTCAAGTTATTGCGTGCAGATAGTGGTATATAAGGTACGAACTTAATAGAAAAATTTGGAAAATAAAATGTGGTAGAGCTAAACTGAAAAGTACATAAAACAGGCCGCCATTATGGGGGAATAGAACGTGTGGGTTCGACAGAGTTCGGAGTATAGAACTTGCTTCCTGAGGGCAGCACATCGCCCTGTGGGCATTGTCTCATCTGCAGGAGGTTCCTCATCCTGTATCCGCTCCTGTGCGTGGTACTGCCAGGGTACCTTTTGCGTGGGCACAGGATCTGCCACACACTGAAGTCTTCTTCCAGTAATCCTTGCGCTTGGCGCGATAATTCCCCCTTTTTATGACGCGGTATGGGTATGCGCCGACGCCATGATGCTGATGACGTCACTACCTGCCAAAACGTTCAAATTTGAACTTCTGAACTAGACAATTGCCCTGTTGTGGTTCTATTTAGTCCCAATAGCGCGTTGTACTTTAGTAGTGTATTCTTGGTTTTGACTTTGGCTTGTTTGACTACCCTTCTTTCTATTACCCTTTGACTCGGCTTGTGTACCCTCATTGTTCTTGATTTCTGGCTTCCCTGACCTTTATTCTCTGGCCTTGTGATGCCAACCCAGCCATTCTAAGGTCCGGTAATGTTATGTTTTTATTACACTCTGCGTGTAGGATCCCATCCATTCCTGACAGGTACAAAGGGGACAATATTATGTACGTCCCAGGATATGTGTTTAGCTGATGTGGAGGCCGGTTCCTGAGCCAGGCCCAGCTGCGGTATTTGCTGGCAGTAAGGGTGTGGGGTGGTCCCCATCTGTAGTTGATACCAGCCTCCCTGATTGCCTTTGTGACGCCTTGGACTGAGCGCCTCCAATCTAGAGTGGCTCTGCATAAGTCCTGCAGGAAGGTAAGTTGCATGCCTTCGAATTCAAATAGGACTTTGGTCTTGAGTACCTCCTGTATCGTCAGCTTGTCCGTGAAAGAGAGGAAGTGGAGCAGGACATCTCTGGGGGCTGCTATCAGTGCCCTCAGAGATTTGGGAAGTCGGTGGGTGCCATCCGTGAGAGCCTGTTTTCTGTGTCAGGTGATACTAACGATGCAAACAGATTATTATTATTATGATATTTATAGAGCGCCGTCAAATTTGCAGCGCTTTACAATGGGTGGATGAACAGACATGTAGTTGTCACCAGACAAGTTGG